TACTAACCCTGTATTTAGCAGCTTGCATGGTAAGAACATAAGGAGAGCCTGCTGGATCAGGCCAGTGGCCCATCTAGTCTGGTATCCTGCTCTCATAGTGCCCAAGCCTAGGCGAAGCCCACAAGCAGGACCTGAAGGCAACCCCCAGCTTCTGTGGTTTCCAGCAACTGGTATTTAGAAGCATACTACCTCTGACAATGGATGCAGAACAAAGCAATCAAGGTTACCAGGGTAGCCCATAGGTGACCAGGAATTCCATGCATTGAATCCCATGCAGACAGGTGAATGGGCTGCCAGACAAGGAATAGTTTTTTGCTCCATCCTGCTCTGTCAGCCTGTTTTGTTTTGTGCTTTCCTTCTTCATAGCCAGCATTGCAACATAGCCTACTAGGTAAAGGTAAAAGGTAAAGGACCCCTGGATGATTAAGTCCAGTCAAAGGCAACTATGCAGTGTGGTGCTCATCTCACTTTTCAGGCCGAGGGAGCCAGTGTTTGTCCACAGACAGCTTTCTGGATCATACAGAGGACCGTGACAAGTGCCAGAGCACACGGAAATGCCATTTACCTTCCTGCTACAGCGGTACCTATTTATCTGCTTGCACTGGTATGCTTTCAAACAGCTAGGTTGGCAGGAGCTGGGACAGAGCAACGGGAGCTCACCCCATCACATGGGATTTGAACTGCCAACCTTCCGATTGGCAAGCCCAAGAGACTCGGTGGTTTAGAGTAGACCACAGTGCCACCCATATCTCCTACTAGCGCAGCTGACTAGCCTCTTAGAAGGATAGTAAGAAACAAAACAAAACTCAGGCTAGTAACTTCTGTGGCTGCAGTATACACTTTTCTACCTTCCTTGTATGCACAAAGGCCCATGCTACAGATATGGTCAGTATCAACAGTGTCCACCACTGCCACAAAGACTGTGACCACCACTCCATGCATTATATTTGGCTGAGTAGCCCAGAAAGATCAGGAGGCCTGATTAGGTATTGGGAAAAGTGATGGCATGAGCCAGCCCCAAATCATCCAGTCTTGCTGGCACAGCTTTCAGGCACAGTGATAATTAAGCATGCTTCCCAGACAGTGGGTGAACAGCCAGATAACAGCTTATTCAGGGACTTAGCAATGACATCTTCTCATTGTCCCTGTGCCTGCATCCTAACGCAATCGCCCACACTCTGCCATTGGAAAAAAATGATAGCAAGGATGAAGTAGATCAGAGATCTCTGTGACGCTGGACAGCAGCAGCACTTAGTCTGAATGCTGAGAACTCCACTTCATGAGAAATTGACTCCAGAACCACTGTGGTAAGAACGCTTAACGATTCATCTTGAGTGGAATGACGTGCATACTTCGCACTGTGAGGAACAGCCTCCTTTTTAGACTAGATTCTAGGACTGTATTTTGCAACTAGTTCAAGAGTGTTTCCTCTGTTGCCACTTGTCTCACTTTCCCAGTGTCTACACGTTGAGCAATATTTTTTTTTTGTCTAGTAGTAAGCGAAAGGACTTCTGCAAGTGTGGCAATAGAAACGCCTATTTTTCTTTGAGAAGTTCTTAGCAGCCTTTTGAACTTGGCCACTTTCCAGAACGCAGGAAGGGATTTTGTCACTCCCTTCTCTTATTTAGTCCTGCCTCCTTCCACACATACCTGTGTGACTCCAATATTAGAAAAAGAGAGGGATTGTAGCCCATTCAGGTAGGTTTACATCATCATGCCTCCTCGCCTTTATTTTCACCAGCAGCATCTACTGGACTACGATGCTCCAAGGACCTTTGATGTTTCATCACAAGCTTGCCAAATGACTCATGAAGGGTGTGAAACTGGCAGGAATCTGCTGTCCCTCATGCCTTTTGATAGCCCCGGGCCTTGTGCATGAATGGAAAGCCTAGAAACCATTTTTTTTGCATCTATACCAGTCTTTTGACAGTACTAATTTGGGAGGGGGGCATGCAGTAAGGGGAAATTTGAATTAACAAGGAGGGAGGGAAATGAGATGCATGCAACATTGTGTGGATGCTTGGGATAGTGTAAAAGCACAGTGAATCACTGGTGTGGAAGTGCCCTGTGAGAGTGCTAGTGTGTTTATATCCTGCATGTGGGTTTCCAATAGGCAGTCCACCATGAAAACAAAATGCTAACCTAGATAGGTCTTTGGCCAGATTCAGCAGGGCTCTTATTTTGTTTGTTTTTTACCCGCCTGTCATCCTAAGGTCCTAAGGTTGGGTGACAACAATTAAAACAGAATGTTGAAAACAGTTTAAAACAACTTACAGCCACAAAAAATAAGGTGGGTCCTGAAAATTTACATGTCACATATCAAAAGCCAGGGTAAAGAGGTGTGTCTTCAGCATTCACCGAAAACTGTTATGATGAAGAAGTGCCAGACACATCTCTATGGGGAAGGAGTTCCTTAACCTGACAAGCTGGAATGTGTGTGATAAAGGATCTGGAAACTAAGCCTGATGAGGAACGGTTGAGGGAGTTAGGTATGTTTCGCCTGGATAAGAGCAGACTGAGAGGAGATATGACAGCCATCTTCAGATATCTAAGGGCTGTCACATGGAAGATGGAGCAAACTTGTTTGCCTCTGTTCTGGAGCGTAGGACCCAAACCAATGGATTCAAAGTACAAGAAATGAGATTCTGACTAAGCATCAGGAAGAATTTTCTGGCAGTAAGAGCTGTTTGACAGTAGAATGGACTCCCTTGGGAGGTGGTGGACTCTCCTTCCTTGGAGATTTTTAAGCAGACGTTGGGTGGCCATCTGTCATGGATGTGTTAGTTGAGATTCCTGCATTGCAGGGGTTTGGACTAGATGGCCCTTGGGGTCCCTTCCAACTCTATAATTCTATAATTCTATTCTTAGGGGCTGCCACAGAAAATGGCATCTCCCGGGCTACTGCCACCCCAGATTTCTGAGGGCAGTGAGGGTCCCCTCTGCCAATCTTAATATCCAAGGGAGTCTGTAGGAAAGGAGGAGGTCTTGAATTGGGCCTGGAAACAACCGGCAGTGCAGCTTTTTTGGAACAGGGGCTATACAAAAGAAGAATATTCCTCTAGATCCTAAAAATTTCCCTTTTGTCATACCATGTGACAGCTGTCCAGGATCTTCCTCACAATGACCTTATTACACACTTAATGACTGTGGCAAGGCTTATCAAGCTCTGGAGGACTTTAAATGCAGATTTGTTTTAGGCTTGGTTTCACAACTCTGGGACTTAATATTAATGGATGAACTAAATACCCACCTCCATGAAAAAAGAACAAGCAAGAAATCAGTCATTTTTTATTCAACCTGATGTAATTTTATCTCTTATGCAACATCAGACGAACATGGCTACAACAGACCATGGTAATCTGTGGAATGACACTTTTGTTCAGTAAGTGAAATGACCTAATTAGTCAGTGTAACTATTTCAAGATTCTGTACTTATGGGGGAGGGAATATTTGTTGTCCTCCCCCCTTTTTGATGCCTGAATTTTTTTATATTAAAAAAAATGTAACAAACAAACAGGGCTTATGTGAGATCTAAATAGACCCCTGGCCACTGCATTTTGGACCAAGTGCACACTGCAATACTGTATTGGCCCAAATATAAGCTGCACCCGCAAATAAGCCGCACCTTTAAAATTGAAGGGGGCAAAAGAAAAAAAGGCAATACCCGGGCTGCTTCCTGGGGGGGGGGGGGAGCCACTCCACTTTGCCGGCGGCCTTCCCCCCTTCCCCCTTCTTTCCGGCGGCTCGGGGGAGGCTTGGGAGCGGCGTGTGTGCTGCGCACTGTTGCCCCATGCTCCCAGGCTGCTCTCTGGGGAGGGGGAGCTGCGCCGCTTTGCTGGTGGCATAAGGTCTCGAATGCAAGCCACACTTTAACTTTTCAGGGTCTGAATTGGGGGGGGTGGCTTATATTTGGGGCAATATGGTACTTCAATCTGGAAGTTACCAGAGTGTGGAGTACAACAGACAAATCATATCTGTCCAAGAAAGGGTCATAGCACAATGCTGGCACTCCTAGATGCCAAGGTCATCTGAGCCTCCAGTGACAGTGTTGGACCCAAGAGCACCCCCAAGCTGTGGACCTCCTTCTTCAAGGTAAGAGCACCCCAGTCCAGTCCAAGACAGACCATGTCTCCCCTTCCCAGATATGATAACATGGGACACATAACACATATGTCTTTATTGAAGGTGAGTGACCAACCATGGTACTAAGGTAAATGGTTAAAGAGGGAGCCAAACAAAGTCGGATTAGTGAGCAAATGCCTTTGAAGGTTTCCAGAGACATTCAGTTATCTCAGAGACAGGCACTTCTTGCACCATAAGATCAAGGTCCATCCTTTGATGATAATGAGTTGTGTGGATTTGTCGCAAGAAAGCCGACACTGGGAACAAAGTCCCACACCATTTGCCACCCTCAATCTAATCCAGCTCTTGGGTCAGAGTTAATCAGCCAGCAATGTGATGAATACCTAACAGCAGCTAAACATTGCAGGAGGAGATTATCTGCCTCAAAAGAGCAATCACAGATATCTACAGCAACGCAGAATGTCCTTATTAGGTTGAGCAGCTTCCTTCTAGCAAAAAACACTGGAAGAAAGATATATGCTGTTTTGAAAGGTTTATGCATTTTTAGGGTATCCAAAAAAAAGCAGTCTCTCACTCAGGTGCTGGTTTGCTCAATGACTCTGTGGGGTTGGGGAGTGTGAGTCTCCATTTGGATTGTGAAATCATTACTACACTCCTCCAACCCAGAGCTCCTATCTTTTGGAATAAACAAGGAGAAAATAACAAACCCAAATCTGTAAAGACTTTGTTTTGAATGAAAGTTTCCTCCTGCGCTTTCTACGGAACTGTCCACCGCCCCCTCCCCCTCCCCCCCCAGCCCTTGGCAACTTTCCCATTGATTTCAGGGGAACAGTGATTCAGTTAACTTTGAAATCTACAAAAAGAAACTTACCAGAAATTTACCAGCTGCCGAATGAAGGAGAGAGGCAGGGAGAGCTATAGAGAGGGAGAGAGGGAGAATACACACACACATAAAGTCACTTGAGTAGTGAAAAGCATAAAAGAGTGCTTAGCTTTTGGAAAGAAAATCTCTTGCTTATTCTTCCAAAAACCATCAAAGGCTGATTTTAAAGGGAATTTTCTATTTATTGATTTATCAATCCATCATCATCATCATCATCATCTCTCTTGCCTTTTATCCATTCCTCTCTCCTGCCTTGAAGCTGTGCAAGAAGGAACATATAGGCCCGGGAGATGCACTCACCCGTTCCAAAGGATAGATGTCGCACCAGAGCCCCCTCTCATTCTCCAAATGAGTTATCTGAATTTCAAGTTACAAGACAAACAACTGTGCAAGCTTGAGGAGGAGGCTGCCAGCTCTGTTTTGGAGTAAACTGAGAGCAGTGGGAAGAAAGAGAAAAAGAGAGGATACACACACACAAACATCTCTCCTCAAGAGCCCAGATGAAAACAAGGCAACTGCTGGTTTTCGAAGAACAAACTTTGAGCCATGTGTGTCTTCTGATTCAGCAAAGACTCTCTCTGTGTGTGGGAACAGCTGCTGAAGCGCTGAAGTTGTCCTTCCCTCTCTAGAATACAGGAGTGACAGAACGGGAGGTTTGGGCAGAAAGCATCAGCTTCAAGAACTACAAGCAGCAGTTGCTGCTGCTGCTGCTGCTGATTCAGTCCGCTGAGCCAACGCTGCTGACTGCAAGAGGAGCGAGTATTTCCCTTCCAAAGAAAGAGAAAGGTAAATGAAGGAGCTTTGTAGCTAGATGTGTAGAATAATATCTCCAAGCAAGGGAAAGGGGTTGAGGGACTTTGTAGCCGAGAGCAGAGCTAGTTATTCTGCATTGTTTCTTGTGATCTTTTCTCTTCTTTTTCCCCTGTCTTTTGAGCATGAAAGGACAGTAAATAAAGTGTGAGGGAGCTGAAGCTTGCCATTATATACCCTGCGGATGCTGTGTAGCAGTTTTGTCTGCTTTAGATGCTCTGGGGCAAGCACCAAGACAGAAAAGAAAAGAAATAGGTTAGAAAGCCCCCCAAAACAGGTTTCTGATGCAGGTTGTCTGTCCGTCACCATCTCATTTCTCTATACCTGGGTCATCTTTATGTGTTCTCCCTGGTGCCTACCTTGCATATGCAGGACTGGGGGAAAGGGGATGTGTGTGTTTTAAATCCCTTTTAAGAACTGAGCCGTACGAGACATGGCATTTCAATCTCAGCTGCTCCACAAGCAAATATAGGGATGGGATGTGACTGGGAAAGATACCAGTTTAGGACCCACTGATGCTTTTACATTAGAAATGCATAGCCAAGAGGCTCCAGAAAAGGGACGGGGAAGTTGGCAAAGACAAGCCACCAGCTGGCTTGTGGAGTGACCTTACTGTCATCATTTGTTCGCTCTGTGTCTTTTATCAAGCAGATGATGATGATGATATGCTGTTAGAAAACTAGCTGGAGTAGTTCCTTGAGAGAAAGTGCTAACATTCAACATGTGGATGTAAGGATGGGCTAATATGATACCCTTAAATTAGTGATGGACTTAAATAGCATGAACCTGATATTAAAAAGCCTATCTATCTATCTATCTATCTATCTATCTATCTATCATCTATCTATCTATATCTCATAACTAGTAAATGGGCAAGACATCCTTGTTCATTTTTTATAATGTACCGTTTGGGTGGGTGTGCACATGCACACACACACACACACACACCCTGAGGGGTGTTCTGTGAGACAATAAAGGTGATTTTGGTGAGTCAGAAAAGCTGCAGCAACACGGAGAAGGGAAGAGAGAGAGTCTGTGTGGTGCATGAAAGACAACAGCTTCACTTTGCTTTGGAATTTCAGAGGCAATTAGAAGAACGGTGGCTGCAGGAATCAAAGTGGACCTCCATGCACTAAGCTAAAAAGCTAACAGATGGAATGCTTAGAAGCCCTTTCAGAATCAATATCTGGGCAAATGGAACCAGATTGCAACAAAAGCGTCATAAAGCAATATGAATAAGACTACAATCTGGGTGCTCTACTGAAAAGCTACCCGTTGCATCCCATGCTAGTTTCTACTTAGAGGGGGGGAAATTAATGGCTATGGCTAACTTAGGTTCATTCATTTCTGTGAGTCTATTCAGAGTTTAAATTAGCTGGATGCAACCCAATGTCTCCATTTACTTTTGTAGCTCTGCACCTCCACTTGTTGAGGAGTGCCTATACCAAGAGAACCAATGTGGTTTAGTGGTTGCAGCATCAGACTGGGGCCTGGGAGACTAGGGTTCAAAGCCACATTCAGACATGAAGCTTGCCTTGGGCTAGTCCCCCACCTCACAAGGTTGTTGTGAGTATATTATGGAGAGGAGAGGACTGAATATATTCCCCCTTGAACTGCTTGAAGGAAAGGTGAGATATACAGAGAATCATAGAATTGTAATAATAATAAAAATAAATATAAATTTTATTATTTGTACCCCACCCTTGAGGGTCCAGCCTCCTGCAATGCAGGAATCTTTTGCCCAGTGTGGGGCTCAAATTCATGACCCTGACATTAAGAGTCTCATGCTCTACCGAGTGAGCTATTGAGGGGATATATGTAATAATAAATAGTAAAGTAAATACCTCTACTAAGGTAATAAATTAGAGTTTAATGAAGGTGGGGAAGGAGTTTGAGTACCAAGTCCCAGTGCCACTTGCTTGACCTTGGGCAAGACATTCAAACTGCCTTTGCTTTGCTTCCCACCTCTTTAAGATGAGGTTGCAGTGGAATGCTGAAAAGGGGGTTTGTTTGGGGGAGGGTTATGTAAAAGAGAGCTACAGACTAAATCTGCATGGGAAAGAAAAAATATTATTGCCAATACAACATACAAGTATTAATGTGTGTGTGTAATAGTGGGATGTCCAAATCTGTCAAGATGGACTATAAACAGCTGATTATAATATTAAGCACCATTAGACAGACAGACAGAGATAGATATAGATAGATAGGTGGTAAATGATAGATAAATAGATAAATAAATAAATAAATAAATAAATAAATAGATGATAGATAGATGATAGATAGATAGATGATAGATAGATAGATAGATAGATAGATGATAGATGATAGATTAGATAGATAGATAGATAGATAGATGGATGGATAGATAGATAGATAGATAGATGATAGATAGATAGATTAGATAGATGATAGATAGATAGATAGATAGATAGATATAGATAGATAGATAGATAGATATAGATGATAGATAGATAGATGATAGAGATAGATGATGATGATGATGATGATGATGATAGATATAGATAGATAGATGATAGATAGATGATAGATAGATAGATAGATAGATGATAGATAGATAGATAATAAATATATAGATGTTTTCATTGCAACACAATAAATGAAGGGGATTGTGTTTTAAACAGGGTGCAAAGCATTAATCAATTAATTGCTACAACTGGGCTGATTCAATGGCCAATAATGCTTTTTAAGTGGACCTGTGATTTATTAGACTTCACTATCTAGGTCATACAACATCCTCAGCTTAAATGTGGGACAAAAACTCTCTGCATGACATCCAAACACAGAAATAAAGCACCCTGACATGAAGAACACCAAACTTCATAGTGGGAAAACGCAATGAAGTTATTTACTGGGGGATCCAAAGCACTTTTATTCAGAGGTGAACCCCACTGAGTTCAGTGGGCTTTACAACAGAGGCTGCAATCCTAATCCCGTTTACCTGCAAGTAAACCCCATTGCAATCAATAGGATTTACTTCCAAGTAGACATGTTTCTGATTGCATTGTAAGTGTGCATAGGACTATAACCCTAGTGCAGGGGTGCGAAATTATCCGGATGTTGTTGGATTACAAATCCCGTCATTCCTGGCTCTGCTGGCTACAGCTGAGGGGAGCTGGGGAGCAACAATATCTTTAAAAAAAACCACAAGTTTCCCTCTCCCTTCCCTAGTGTAAGATGAAAGATCATCTTTGGAAGAACTAGGGCAGGGTTGGGGAAGCTTGCTCAGCTTGAAGGCTGTACTGCCCTATGGGCAACACACCTGGAGCTGCATGTTGGTGGCGGATGCAGCCAGAGGCAAAAGTGAGCAGAGCAACAGATGTGACTCTCAATTCACATGACAAAATAATGCTCCATCCTCATTCGGGGTTGTAGAACAATGTTCATAGGAGCACTGGTTCATATGTTTTTTGTCCAAGAGAGATGCCCCAAGGTTTCTTTTGTCAGCCGTGACAACAGTTTTGCTATTTCACTTTTGATACTTCCACAGGTTAGAAAATTAGTCGGGATGTTTTAAAAGATGGCTTGGGAAATAAGCAAGGGTGACCCTGATTTGGAGCTTCCCATGGGCATATGGATGGTCATTGTGAATATATCTATAGCTATGAAATGTCATTTGAAATGTAACATTGCATAAAGACTTCATAAACTAAACAGCACATTGAGAACCTGCTTTGTCTTTCTCTGAGTTTTGCCTTGTTGCTGCATTGTTACAGTTCCCCCCTCCCTCTATATCATGTAGAAATCTATATCTCTCAGATCCATGCAGCTGATAAAGTTGGCTGTAGTCCACATAAGCTTAAACAACAATAAATTTTTCAGTCTATAAGATGCAATGTGTGTGTGTGTTCCCGCATTTATCTGCCTCTGGCTATGCTTGCTATAACCAGGGAGGCTGGTTTCTTAGAGAGATTGGGGCGCTGTCCCAAAAACCTCAGTCTGCCCTCAGCCAACTCCTGCAGCCCACCTGCCTTCCTATTTACAACTGGTGCCGGGGGCCAAAACTGCCTGTCCTCCTCCTGCTGCTGCTGCTGCTTAGTCTCAGGGATGCCCTTGTAGGACTCAGCAGGGAGGAGGATGGGACAAAGCAGGAATTAGTTGGCTCTGCCTGTCACTCGCTCTGGCTCCACCTACTCTTGGCTTCTGGGCCTTCTGTACCAATGAGGACCGGCCACCACTGGCTGAAGCAGATTAGTAAAACAAATCCTCTTGAATAAGGTTCCTAGAAATCAAAGCAAACATATCTTGTGACATTTCTTTATTACCGTAGTAGAAAGCCTGTGACCCTCTAGCGGTTGCTGGACTTCAGCTGCCATCAGACCCAACCAGCATGGCCAGCGGCCAGGGATGATGGGTGTTGTAATCCCCAGGTTCCCCACCCCTGCTTTATGGGGTAAAGGTAAAGGGACCCCTGACCATTAGGTCCAGTCACGGATGACTCTGGGGTTGCGGTGCTCATCTCGCTTTATTGGCCGAGGGAGCTGGCGTACAGCTTCCAGGTCATGTGGCCAGCATGACTAAGCCACTTCTGGCAAACCAGAGGAGTGCACGGAAACAGTGTTTACCTTCCCGCCAGAGTGGTACCTATTTATCTACTTGCACTGGTGTGCTTTCAAACTGCTAGGTTGGCAGGAGCAGGGACCGAGCAACGGGAGCTCACCCCATCACAGGGATTCAAACCTTCTGATCGGCAAGCCCCAGGCTCTGTGGTTTAACCCACAGCGCCACCTGTGTCCCTTGCTTTATGAGGTACAATGCTTTAATTCTCCTTTTTGTCATGCAACAGGTTTGGTGAATGAAAGATGTGTTTGGAGTCTCAAGAGTCCCTGTAGTTTTCAATGACTGGCATGCTTACGCTCTGTTTATGTAACCATTCTCTCATTTGTTTTCTCATCTGGGACCCTCTGTTTATGAATTGCAAGAGATAAGACAATGGCCGATTGCACGCAGGCAATTGCTGTGGAATAATCACAGTTCACTCACTCGCTTTTTATAGGGCATTTAAATGACACCATGAACAAAACACACCTACCTACTCATCAGCTGGGATAGCCCAGTCAGTAGAGCATGAGACTCTTAATCTCAGGGTTGTGGGTTCAAGCCCCACATTGGGCAAAATGTGGATTCCTGCGTTGCAGGGGGTTAAACTAGATTATCCCTGTGGTCCTTTCCAACTCTGATTCTATGTTTTCCCTGTTGAGCTTCCATACTTAGAAAATCCATTCTTTTTTAACACAACAAGACAGCTTCCCCGGGTGTAGGCGACCTACTCTTCTGTTATTCTGCTGGCTTGTGTATATTTCTGTAGCCATTTCCTAGTTTGCTGTAGCTCAGTCTTTCCTAACCCAGACTACAACTCCCATCAGCATGGCCAATAGACAGCTATGACGGGATTTGTAGTTCCTGGTTGGTGTTCCTGGTGTTGATTTTTTCATGCTGACGATAAAACCTTATATATTTTTTTATATCTGTGCAGATCTAAGCAATGATGAAGACTATGTCCAGTGGGAACTGCACCTTGAACGTGCCAGCCAAAAACTCCTACCGCATGGTTGTCCTTGGAGCCTCCAGGGTGGGCAAGAGCTCCATCGTCTCGCGGTTTCTCAATGGCCGCTTTGAGGACCAGTACACACCCACGATTGAGGATTTCCATCGCAAAGTCTACAACATCCGGGGTGATATGTATCAGCTAGACATCTTGGACACATCTGGGAACCATCCGTTCCCTGCCATGAGGAGACTTTCCATACTCACAGGTTAGACGTGTGAGTGTGTGTGAGAGGAGGGGGTTACCAGGGGCTCTTCCTAGTAGACCCAAGTCAATGCACATCAGTTTGGGGAAGGAGAGGCAGGGGTTCAAATCAGTCCCAGGTGCTTGCAACGCCTGTTTGCAAGGTTTGGCTCATGTTATCTTTGTATTCCTATCTCCAAGGAGTTGCCAGCTGGGATCCACAGAATTCAGCCACCTCCCTATGCCCAAGAACGGTTTGGGTTTGGGTTTCCTGAACAAAGGGCTCCTGTGCTACATGGCAAGGAACTCTTAACTGAAATAAGTTTCTGGAGAAGTGTCTGATATGGCTTGGGAGTCCGTAGCTCAAAGGGGTAGTAGTAATAATAATAATAATATCTCACTGGCTGTATATGAGCCCTCTGACTGTTCTCCTAGAATGGCTCTTTTTGCTCCTAGTTGTTGATTCCCTGATATTTTGTTTTACAGGTGTGGCTGAGAGCCAAAAGTGCAGAATCAATTGAAATAAACTGGGGTATTCTTTAATTCAATGAAAGAGGACCCCTTGCCAATTGCTCCCTCTTTGGAGAGCCATCTGCTTTCACCCACAATGTGGAATATGGTCTCATGGGGTGATTTTTTATTGGGTGTCTCTATGCCTCCTCTATAGAACATGTAAAACACTGAGTGAGATATAATAACTCTCTGGGCCCACCTTAGTATTCCACTGAGAACAGAAATGAGTCTGGTCAGGTCAAAACTGTAAGAAAAACCAGGTATCCAGAAAATGAAATCATGCTAGGATCGGCCTTTCCATGAGGCAAACTGAGGCAGCCGCCTCAGGCAGCAAAATCCAAGGAGCACCTTTGCAGGTGTGCTCCCCGCTGCCCCACCCCCACTTCAGAGAAGCAAGGAGATATGGCTATGGAGGCTTCTGGGTTCTGGCAAGATCTTGCCACAGCCATGCGATCCCAGTAAAGGGGGGGGGGGACAGGAGGAGGATTTTGGCACACATGCAAAAGTTTGATAGACCTGTCAGTATGCTGTTATAAAACATTATTTTGCTAAAAATCCATGTCATCTTAATAAATTCCATACTTTACAATGAAAGCTCTGTAAATAGCATTCCTTTTATCCAAACACAGGTTCTCTAAATGTTTTGGTTAGACCATATGTTTGGTTATATCACAGAGTGAGGAAGTATGCTTCTGAATACCAGTTGGTTGAAACATCAGGGAGGGGAAGTGCTCTCGCACCCAGGTCCTGCTTCTCATAGTGATCTGGTTGGCCACTTTGGGAGCAGTATGTTGGGCTAGATGGGCTACTGGTGTGATCCTACAGGATCTTCTCATGTTCTTAATATAGCTGGGATAAACAAATCCCTTGCTGTGTACGACTTTTATATTATTTTTTCTAAGAGAGGTTGTAATGGATTGGCTTAATTTGTTTCCCCCTCTTGAAACATTGCAGGAGACGTTTTCATCTTAGTGTTCAGTTTGGATAGCAGAGAGTCCTTTGATGAGGTCAAAAGGCTCCAGCAGCAGATCCTTGAAGTCAAATCCTGCCTGAAGAACAAGACCAAGGAAACAGGCGACCTACCCATGGTGATCTGTGGCAACAAAAACGATCATGGTGAACTCTACCGCAAAGTTCGTTCTGAGGAAGCAGAGAAGCTGGTCTCTAGCGATGAGAACTGTGCTTACTTTGAAGTCTCGGCCAAGAAGAACACCAACGTCAACGAGATGTTCTATGTTCTTTTCAGCATGGCCAAGCTGCCCCACGAGATGAGTCCCGCCCTTCACAGGAAGATCTCTGTCCAGTATGGGGACACCTTCCACCAAAAATCCTTCAGGATGCACAGGGTCAAAGAGACAGATGCCTATGGCATGATCTCCCCCTTTGCTCGCCGACCCAGTGTCAACAGCGACCTGAAATACATCAAATCCAAAGTCCTCAGAGAAGGGCAAACGAGAGAAAGGGAGAAATGCACTATTCAGTGAAGAAAGCTCTGCTGAGATGGAGTCTATACACTACGTGCAGTGCCTTAAAGAAAATGGCTGACGGGAGCAAGTTCCTAATGGACTTGGGAGCTACAGGTGATGACATGAGAGCAGTGCTTGAAACCACTTCGTCAAAAGTACCGCACCATTTGTATAAAGAAGTGACTTAAAGGGAAATATTGTAAATACTTGAAGCTGCCTGGCAGGTGACTGCCATGCCCAGCACCTGTGACTTGTTCCTTCTTCTTTTTAAAAACTACTTTTCTATTTGGTGTTCTCTTCTTTGGATAAACGGGGCGTGTGAAGAAGGCTGGAGCTCAGCATTATACCAGGAATTAGTGCAGGATGGGTCTGGCCTGCCCCACGTAGGAGTGCTGAGTTCTCATCAAGCAGTAGGCAGTCTTTGGTGAGAAGATGAACATGTGCCATTGTTTTCCTCCAGGTCTCTTCAGAAATAAGACCCATGATTCAGTGTCCTGTCTTGGTTCTGTGGTGACTTCCAATACAACTGTATATATAAAAGGCAGGCATGGATCTCTGGATTTGTCAGGTCAGAAGAATGTTTGAACATTTGGAAGTTGTGGGGAGAAATGCACTTTTTTTGTGGCAGTGGCAATTCTTCATAGTGTCAATGCAAATGTCGCTTTTGCATTAGAGCTTTAACTTTGTTTTTGTTTCTCAAGCAACAGCCAGATGGCAGACTGTCTGTTTTAACTGAAATGTGAGCTAATCAGCAAGTATGATCTGGAAATGCCAACTGTTTTCCAGTTACATAATGTGTACAGTAACTAAAATTGTTGTACTGTAAAAAAAAACCAGCACATCTGACAGCTTCATGTGATTTTGCTTCATTCAATTTTCTGTTCTTTGAAAGAACTATATATATATATATACTTGGGACACTTTACTATTTCCTATTTACAAATCCCACCTGCCTCCCATTCCAATTATCTTATAATGTGTCTGTTCTATACTCCACTGTATACAACCACCGTGGGTATGATCTATCCAGTGGCCAACACCCGCTTTTTTTTACACTAACAAGGCTGATGCATGCCTACTCAGAAGTAAGCACCACTGAGTTCAGTCTGACTCCCAGGTAGCAATGGATGAGTCTGTCCATTTCAGTTTCTCTCTGCTTCTCATTTTTCCAGTCTTATGTTCAGTTCTCCACATTTTCTCATCAGTTTGCAAACATTTTTTTAAAAATAGGTCTCATGAAAATTCACCCTCATTTTACTGTGTATTTTGCCTAAATTATTGTTTTTCTGCCCAGTATATGCATTTTTGCAGGCACTTCCCCAAATTTAACATGTATTAGTTATTTTCACAAACGTATGTGATTTTGCTCATGCTGTCCCCTAATATATGCATTTTCATTTTATCTGGCTAAAGAACTACAGCATAAAATTTGGAGAAGTAAAATGATTATTACTTCCAAGTTGGCATGATTAGGACTGACCTTCAACTGGCCCCAGTGTTCCTAGTGTTCAAATGTCTGGAAAATGTTATCATAACAGGATCTTGTTCACAGGATCACAAAAATATATAAGGTGTGAAGTTTAGTTTAGGATGTGACTGTCTTCTAAATCACATTCGCTGAAGCGGGGTCACCGGTGTACTGAATGAGTGTGTGCAAATGGAGTTTTCTTTTAAGATGGTAAAACATCTCTCTCTTTTTTAAAAAAGAAAAAACAGCATAAAACCCATGGTTTTGCTTCTGTCAAAGCCATCTGTTCATAGCAAGATTCCTGCAGAGAAAAATAGTCATGTCCAAATGAGACCTGTCTGTCACTCAAGCCCTGTTTTAAAATCTAGTACCCAAGTGGCTCTTGAGACCTGGAGGATCTTTGTAAAGAGGAGGGAAATTTCACTCAGAACCACTTCATGATGACAGGACACAAACACACCCTTTTAACAGTGGCTCCTTTCCCTGCTTAGACCCGTGACAGCTCTCTGCTCATAATGGACATGTTTATCTGAGCAGAACATGGGGTTTTGCATGCCTCGGACGTACTGCAGAAGTTGGCTACCCATTCACCATGAACAGGGAGCTGCCACAGGTTTAAGAATGGGACACCAGGCCCATCTCTTCTTAATTCTCCCTCTTGTCCCCATGTGGAGGTCCTCTGCCCACAGCTCTCTTCTTTCTTCTCACTTCACCTTTGCTAATTCAGAGTGCTGACGCAACTGTGTGCACTAAAAACAGACATTTTAAGAAAAAAATACCTCAGACATGGGTATGCATTGTAGTGTGTGCGCGAGTGTATGTGATTGAATGCAATGAGGGGGAACTTCAGTCTTAGTAGTGTTGACACTGTAGACAACGTGGATTGATACGCTGTACCAGCCCTTGAATATTTGACTATACCTCATATTCTGTATATATGTAAATAGTGCTGTGTGTACACTGTTTAACGTTGCAAGTTCTGCTGATGCTGAATGAATATTCCCTCTGCCGTCTGACTGGTAACAGAGGCTTAAGGGTAGTAGCCCCTAACAGACAAATATCCCCCATCTGATTGTAGGGGTTTAAACTAGGTGACTTTTGGGGTCCCTACAAACTCTACTGTTCTGTGATTCCATGATTCTGAACCCTCCTTCCCTCGCAAATGTAAAATACAGTATTGTTTGGTTTCTAGTGCCATGGCAACCTTCTCTATTATTTTCAGGTGTCTCACAACTTGCATTAATATAGATCTATATTCCTTTCCAAATAAACCTGATTTATTTATTAGCTGTGTCTCAGATGTTGTGCATGTTCTCCAAAATATAATATGGGAAACCAAAGCAGAGGTGGGCAATGTCTCAAGATGGGTCTCCTGATGGGCTCAGAAAATCAGATTCTGATGGAGAAGTGGAAGAAACGTTGTAGACTAAAATGAGAGGCTTTTTTAATTATTCAGCAGGTGCTCTGCGGTCTGGAAACAGGCCACACCACAAGTCTTCCTGCCAAGGAGGAATCACGGTCCTGCTACTATAAGCACCAACTGGGAAATTGGTTTACAGGGAGATAATGTTTTGCTAGATTTCTTCTTTCTCTGTTTCTAGTGGGGGAGAAAAAGCTAAGCATTTTACACACATGCATCGCAGAGTGTAGAAAATTGGCTTACGGGAGTTCTGAAACAACAGGCACTCCACTCTCCTCACTGCTAGAAGCGCACTACAAGAAACAGAAGTTTATTCAGAGAGCAAAATCTCCAAAAAAAAAGCACTATGAAAAGAATGGATGGGGCATTTATTTTATTTATGTATTTCTATTCCACACTTTCATTTAAAAAAAACATATCGAGGTAGTATACAAAATATAATAATAAAATCAGCAAAAAAAATCATACCAACACTTTAAACATCAATAAAAACTGATTGGTTAAAAATAGAAAATTCATATTGCAAAGGCCCATCTAAACAATATAGTTTTCAAAAAACATGTGAAAGAAGGGAGGGATGTTTCTTGCCAAACCTCTCCAGGCAGGGAGTTCCAGAAGTCAGAGCCTGCCAAACTGAGGCTCAGTCCCAAACCTCAGGGACGTACTCCATCAGAGGATCTCAATAGTCAAGGTGGATTGTAAGTGATCAGATTTCCCTTAAGGTACTTTGGACCCAAGTTGCTTAGGACTTTGTGAATTAACTTGCACTTTGAACATGATCCAGAAGCAAACTAGCAACTAGTGTAGAGGTCCCAGCAGTGGAATAACATGTTGTCAGCTGCGACATTCTGCACTATGAACAGTCCGGCTCCTACATTCTGCACTAATTGTAGCTTGCAGGCCAGATACAATGACAGCCCCACCCAAAGTGCCTTGAGGTTACCAAGGAATGGACCACTGTGGTCAGGTTGTTGGGGTCCAGGAACGGTTACCGCTGGTGTATTATCTGAGCTGGTAAAAAACCTCTGACTTCAGAGGTCACTTGGGCCGCTAGTGACAGAGATGAACCAAACAGTACCCTCAGACTGCATACCTGCTCCTTCGGAGGGAGGGCAATCCCACCCAGAACAGGTAAATGACCTCTGTGGTGTAGTGGTTAAGAGCGATAGACTCGTAATCTGGAGAACCGGGTTCGCGTCTCTGCTCCTCCACATGCAGCTGCTGGGTGACCTTGGGCCAGTCACACTTCTTTGAAGTCTCTCAGCCCCACTCACCTCACAGAGTGTTTGTTGTGGGGGACGAAGGGAAAGGAGAATGTTAGCTGCTTTGAGACTCCTTCGGGTAGTGATAAAGCGGGATATCAAATCCAAACTCTTCTTCTTCTTCTCCCAGTCCAGTACAATTGTTTAAGCCATGTAGTATGGCTCTTTATGCGCCGTTTCTGGAAGGATGCCTGTGGCAGGAAGGAAGGTGAGAAGCAGCTGTCCTATGGTTGTGGAGCCCAGGGGTACTCCACATAATTCTGCAGGGAAGTTATGACACTCATCACCAACATTATCAAATGGATGTCTCTAGCATCCTTATGCAATTGCGCTCCACATAGCATGCCAAACTGCAATAGTCTTGCTAGCTAGCAGAATGAATCACAATTTCCCATGAACAATATATTGCTGATGGAATGCTGGAGGATTTGTGACATCTCCAAAACAAGCACTTCCCTGTGGAGAAATGTCTTATTTACCTGCAACACAAATAAGCCATGATTACACATTTTTTCATGTTAGAAGGTTGAAGGGTCTTGAAAGATCCCCCTCAGGAGCTGGGAAGGGTCCTTGACACAACCATTAAATGGGTGACTGATAGGTGTGATAGATATTTCCCCTTGGTTTCCATAGAGACCATCTCTTAGTTGATAGTGATGACTGGATCAGTGGCCTTATTTATGCCAGGTGAGAAGCAAAATGATTGCTCTGCGCAAGCTGTTTTATCTATTGCCCCTTAGCGTGTCTTCGGACGTTTTCAATTGGTGAAGAATGCATGAGTCATTTGTGCTTCCTATTATTAACAACTGAAAACAATTCTTACTTTTGTATGGTGTGTGAATGGGCTGCAATTACGGCTGCAATTTTAAATTTGTATGCTTCAAACAACTAACACTTTAATTGTAGATTAAAATTTGGTTCCTGGTTAATTCAATGAGGCTTCCAGTATTATGAAATATATGGGGAAAAAAATTTGGGGGGGGCGTGTTTTACACCATTTTCTTTGCAGTCCTGATTCCAAAGTGTCCATCTTGATTCAGCTAGAGGACATGCGTTGTCATGTTATGTATCTGAGTGACCTTATTCATAAACTCTTAGCCTAACCTACCTCATAAGGTTGTAATAAGGATAAAATGGGGTGGGGGGAGAAAACCAAGTGCATTGTCACTAGGTCTTGAGAGAAGAGGTGAGATAAAAATGCAGTAAGTAAATATTCCTAGCTGGATGATGAACTAGGCACTGGACTGGGTGCTGTTTACACAGTTCCTCTCCATGATACTGGTTCATAATGCTTTAAAAATAAACACTCACACTTATCAGCTGTTGTGAAAGTAGATTAAACCTTGTTCCCCATTTCCCTGCTGGACTGCTTGTTGCCAAACAGCTGGAAGCAAGCCTTCCTGAACTTAATGGGACTTCTTTCAGAGTAAATCTCCCCACTTAGCCGTTTTCACATAGAAAGGATCAGGCATTTAAGCTCTCTTGAGCTAGCACTTGTCCCACTGCCTTGTAGGAAAGTAAGCCTGCCTTTTCCTCGACTGCATCCAAGGGCTGTAAATTATGTCTTTTTGTGCTTCATCACAAGCACTCTGATTTATTGTATACGTTTTCAGCCAGTCGTCAAAGCAATTTCACAAGCGCTCAGTTCTGACCAGCCCTTGGAGGCATGGCATGATGCCAAGGGCAAGGTTTTAATTTGAGCCTCATCTCAGCAGAGCACAGCCTTGGGTTATGTTTCCAGCATGAACGCTCAGCCCTGGAATATCTGTGCATGTGCAGAGTGTGCTTACATCAACAGTGCTTTCAGGACCATGCACACACAATGTGGAGAATTATGCCATTAAGTGGCAAATGCTAGTCCTATAAGAAAGGAAGGAAAATTCTCCCTCTCCTCTTTCTCCACTCCATGGATAATCATATATTCTTCTATCAAGTCTCTTCTTAGCTGTATTTTTTCCCGCTAAGCTAAAAAGTCCCCAAACACTTTAGCCAAATGAAAGCCTCGTTGGTTCCAGTCCATGGGTTATAATGTTTGCCTGCTTCTGCACCTTTTCCAACTCTATGAAATCCCCTTTAAAATGGGATGACCAAAACTGCATGCAGCATTCCAGAGGCAACCCTACCGCTGATTTTGGAGTGGTCACTTGCGCAATGCCAAAAAAAGAGGAAATCACCAAAACGGATGACAAAAGAGGACATACATATATACTATCAGGCTTCAGGGAATCCGATCCCTCCCCCCGGTGGCAGCCAGTAAGCAGATAAACAAGAGTAGTTCTTACCAAGTAATTTATTCCATAGTTCACAGAGAGAGAGAGAGAGAGAGAGAGAGAGAGAGAGAGAGAGAGAGAAAGGAATGCAGCCTCCCTAAAATAATGTTGTTGCTCCAAGTAAAGTCTCACCCCCTCCATCTCTCCTATTCTACATCACCCTTGCAACAGCTAATCTGAACTTTCTGCCTCTGAGCCTTCTACTACCCTCAATGCTTGCCTGGTCCTGGGAGAGGGAAGGTCAGGAATGCTGTCCAAGGACACTAAGTCTGTCAGCTGTCTCTCCCCTGATGTTTCTTCTTCCTGCTGTTCCTCTCCCAATATTTCCCAGCTTCTCCCCTCTACAGCCTCTGAACTATGCCCTTCTGCAAACCACTGTTCTAAATCTACACTGTCCTCCTGTTCTCGGGAAGGTTCAGGAGAAGGGGGGCGGCCCCCACCTTTCCTCCTCAGTCCAGCCTCTGACACATACACTTATTCAAATTAATGCAGGTTTAGAACTAATGGCTATAATTTAAAGAGAAATATGATACATCTCACCCATAGTGGCCATGTGACCTGTGTGTCTGCTCAGTCTGCTGTCCAGGGGCTAAGTACTGATGGACAACTTCAAGGACCCTGGTCTTTCTTCTTAGGGCTTTTGATCTTTAAACTGGACTTGGACTGGGCAACCCTTCAAACAGAGGGCACCTTCAGAAACAGCAGACATAAGAACAGAAACCAGCTGGATCAGACCAAAGGCCCATCTAGTCCAGTGGCCAACCAGGTAACTGGTTGCAAGCAGGACATGAGTGCAACAGGACTCTCCCCAGTTGTGTATCCCAACCACTGGTACTCAGAGGCACACTGTTTCCAACAGCAGAGGTAGCCATCACGGCTTCGTTGTACCACCCCTGTTGGAGGCTTCTGTGCAGTTGGACACATAGTCACACTAACTGATATACATAAAGGCAGGATGATACTAGCAGTTTTATTTTTGAACCCTAGAAAACCATAGCATGGCATCTACCTTAAAATAAAAATAAGAACTTTTGCCACAAATCCCTGAGTATACATCAGTTGCACAATAATAGCCCATTCAGAACTCATAACTGCAATATTGGAGCATTGCCTTGGGTACTGAACATCATGTTACTGTAATGTTAATCTGAGTTTGAAGGCTGGGAACACAAGAAGGACAACAGAAATAATATTATAGGATGAAAGGGACTGTTTCTTTACGAGGAGCTAAATATGAAGGAGCTGCTTCCACAGTGTCTGAGTGAAGGAAACAATGTAAAATGACAGAAATATCTGAAGTGGTTGAAAATGCCAAAGAAGGAGAGGAGTCAGGTT